ATATATAAATTTTTTATAGCACTTTTTTGGGCGTGGTCGATTTGTGGCTCTAAGCCCAATAGTGTATGCATTTTTCTAGGACCTCTTAAAGAGCTTGAAAAGAAAATCTTCTGAACTTATTTAAGTTGCTTGAAGACATTTCCCCTCTCATCTGAGAAGCTTCTTCAGTTCTAAGGTCAGATGGTGGAGAGTCCTAGATTTAAGCTCTAGCGTAGTGTCCCCCGAGGAAGTCATGAACCCCCTGTTGATCCTCTACCTAATCACACGAGCCAAGGTGTGAAAACGGGTGTAGGTCACAATCAGTGGAATTTTTGGGTGAACCTGCTATGAAACCTAGCCCCACCGTGTGAGCTCAGATGATTTCCTGAGGGTCAAGTCTTTTTTTTCATTTAGCAAGTAGGTTTGGATAAATATTTTTCTCCATGAATAAATAAAATAACCATTTAAAAACAGCATTTTATATTTACTTGGGTTATCTTCGTCTGAAAATAATATTTGTTTGGTGATCTGAAAAATTTACATGTGACAAATACAAAAAAAAAAAAAATCAAGAAGGAGACAAGTATTTTGTCAGAGCACAGTATAAATAGATTACCTCTCTACAGCAGAACATCTTCCTTCTTTAAAATAAGTAATAAAACCCTTGGAGTTGTCGCTCTTTAATGACACACAGCTTGGATCAGGTTCAGGTCCAGGTTGATTCCTGTGAATAATGATGGAGCAGTGATGTGAGTGCTGAGCTGTGACATGGAGAAGAGTCATGGACAGTTAGAGATGGTCATCTCACCTCTGAGCTTTGGTCTGGCTCTCATGTTCCCCACACAGAGTGGTTTTAGAGGGAGGGACTCCCTCCTCTCTATCATCACACTCAATTGCTGCTCAATTCACATCCACATCTGATTATATCCTCTTATGTGTGGAAACTAAAATAATAAGTTTGACACTTGGGTAAAACACAGACCAGAGTTTAGAGAAAACAAAAGTTGAAATCTCGGAGTTAACTAGTCTTTGAAAATAACCCTAAAAATTAACCAAATAACATATTTTATTAAAAAACTATTAAGAATAATTTTTGTTCTTAACCATATGTACCAGCTATAGTACAGTTTTGCACAAGCTGATGGTAGTTTTCATACATCCTGTCATACAAATACAGTACATTTACTTTTATCAGTGTAAACAAAACAAGTATTACCAGTACTACCACCACCTCCTCCCACAGAGCCCTGAATACAAAATGGCAGAAACTGAAAATTCAAAAGGGAAAGAAGACCAGAAGAACCAAAGAATTGCCGCACATTGTGCTAGTCTGCATGGCACCAATACATATACCAAGACCTTAGCTACCACAATTCTCTCTCTATTTCCTGCTCATGCCAAGACATGAGTGCAACCCCCGTTTCTTCGAAGTACTTTCTTCTGTGTATATACTTAATGCCAATGAATCACCATTACAGGTGCAAATAAAAGAATACAGCTGTTAGTTCATTTACACAACACAACATTGAAAACTTTGATTTACAATTGCAAATGTAACCTGCCTCTAAAATGCAAATGAAAATTAAAAGACGATACAGATGCTGCTCTTCCGGGACTCTGCGCAAACAAACGTAAACTACTAAATTGCGGATAAACAATTACTGTAAGCCTCCTTCGTCCCGAGCTCCCAGTTCTAGCTGTGAGTCCGTTAACGTCTGTTGTTTGTAAGCTGTACACAGGTCATGTTAGCGATGAAAACATTACCTTCACACGAAGCTTTAAACGGAACCGATCATCTGTGCCACAACCTTCAAAGAAAAAAAAAGAAAACGGAAAGTTTTGTAAACACCCAACGATGCGTTTAAGAGCAGCTTCGCAATCAGGGAAATCAGACACTGGCCAGTATGGGATTTAATTCTAGAAATGTTTGTTAAAGGTTTTGCAGAAATCAGTCTCACTGCCCTGTTATTGAATGTACACTCCAAAAGGATCTGTTTTTACTGCAGTGTGACACCGTGTTTTTGAATTAAACCTAGTTTTAATTTAGGAGTACAATAAAAACAGGTTTGAATGTTGTGATGCTTCCGTGCTCTTACACAGAGGCCTTGAAGCTTCAGCAGCAAGTTTGTCAGTTTAGCTAATATAGTATAGGGTAGATCATTAGACATTATTAGCTAATGTCAGCTTTTAGAGCCCTTTACAGTCTGTATGTCTATCTATTTATTTAGCTAGCCAGCTAGCTATCATTAGTCTGCTGGTGTATCACTAATTTGCAGCCAAGTACATGCTGTACTTTATAATTTTATTTTGATTTACTACTGTATATTTCTAACCCTGCAAAATCAGTCCCAGTCATCATGGAAATTTTGCAGAATTTTGGAGAAGTGTCAGGATACAAATTGAATTTATCTAAAAGTGTGCTATTCCCAGTCAACTCTAAAGCAATAGGTAACCCAAGTTGTTTCAATACCTT